CACGCACGCACACACACACACACACACACACACACACACCCTCTCCCTTTAGCCTACACCTTTCCTAGCCTACTTGAATGTTAACTGAACGAAAGCGAAGCTTTCTGAGACAGCCCAAGCATAGTTAAATTTACGAAGTAGATCTAGATCTAGACAACAAGTTAAGACTGACTCCAGCACAATCGGACAAGAAGTAGAAGTTGAAACTGAACAAATTGCCAAATGCGTAAGCATTAGCTAATCTTTTCGGCAACGCTTTGTTACGATCATAACATTATAACTGTTTAAACAAACAAACAAACAAACAAACAAACACAGGCCCACGACCTGTGTTACTATATCAGTGTACAAAATCAAAAGAAAAAAACACACTTACCCTAGTTGACTCTTTCTATCAAGACGTTTCAGCATAACCAAATGCTTCCCCGCTAGTCTCAGAAATATCTGAATACTGATACTTGAGCGTAAGATCTACCATATAAGAACCATTATGACTGAGTTAGGTTCCAGTTGAGAAGTGCAACAGTCACCGGCAATTGCCGTCCAAAGTCACTAAGATCGTCCTCAAGAAATCACAATTAAATTACTATGAAGCTATATCCCTGGCATATAGTTATGTTTTTATGATAATCCATTTAAACGCACTCATAGCACTTTAAATATCACTTTGACAAAGACATAACTGTGTTACACACACACACTGAATCCATTGAAGCCAATTTTTCAATGGTTAGGCAAACTTAACGAAGTTATTCGAGTCTCTGTATATCGTATATTATTCGTTAACACAGGCAATATTTAATCTAAATCTAAGAAAATCATTTGGAGAAAAAAATACAACTACTCGATCCTATGAACGTGAAATATCCTACTCTTGACTGTTGATATGCAGATGCAGATGGTATACACATTTTCTTTTAGATCAGAGATCTCACGTGCAGTTTCTAAATGTCTGAAAAGAAAACCCGTTAATGATTGTGTGTGCAAACGGACATAGGTACTCTGAACACCATTTTCTACGTTTAGCTTGGCCTGGGAAGTTCGTGTCGCGGGCCTTCTCGCGACAGGCGACAAGCTGTGTCGTTGCTAGGTACGCCGATAACCATTGTTTCCGGTGTGAATGCATTTTTTGTTGCCGTGAAATAATGTGCGTGACTTTATTGAGCGGGCACACCGGGGGAATTAGATCGTTGAAGAGGAACAAAACGTACCTGTTTAGCATTCCCTTTTCAGCCCATGTAATAGCCTCCCATGAGATTTCCAAAGGAAAGAGAGAGAGAGAGACAGAGAGAGAGAGAGAGAGAGAGAGACAGAGAGACAGAGAGAGAGAGAGAGAGA